TAGTCCGATACTCTAGTATCGGACTATGCGGACAAAAGAGACTAAAATGACCAAAACGTGATCAGAACTTTATAAAAACACTTTTCTGCTACTTCTGGAACCATTTCAAATACCATACAGAATGGACAAATTCACTAGCTTTCATGGACGCTTCTTTCGCTAACCTGTTCCATATAATATTCTTTTATAACCATCAAAATCTTTAAATTGTAAGACAATATCATAAAGGTATTTTGGATCAGCTTGAAATTGAAGTGTGCAATCGAGATTAATCGAAACACCGTCGCGATTCAAACATGAGATATCATCAAATTCCATCGAAGTAAACACACTAGGGAATATGAGAAATTTAAAACCCGGAGCATTGAGGTGCAAACCAGAAGCTTGAACTTCTCGACTTAATTTTTTCGATATGGTATTGTATGGTAAGGCAACTAAAAAAAGGAAGTAGAAAATATGAAATATCTCGATTATTATAGAAAACACTCACTTTGATCAGTATTTAATCTTCCTAATGATGAAACAACAAGTGCTATAATTGCAATAAAAGCGAGTAAACCGCCTGTGAGAGCAAGCACTAGGACGACCTTAGCTGGCATGGTGATGAAATCTTAAAAAATATCGTCAAAATCAAAATCCATGTCACACTGTAAACAAAAACGTCTAAAAAGCCCTTTTCGCTTATTGATAGGAAGCAAAAATCGATGTATAACTGAAAAAACGAAAGAAAATGTTTTTCAAAGGCGATGAAAGCAATATGGCTGTCACCTCTTCATTGAAGAATTCTTTGCTGTTCTTCGAAAAATAAAACAGTTTTGGCAAATATTTACAGGGTTACAGGTACACACTATGTAATCGCCAGTTAGGTCTCTAAAGCTTCAGAAATATTTCGCCACCTTCCAGACTACATAAAGTTCATAAAATAGAAAATATGTTTGTCCTATCTAACTGTTATTTATTCATTTATTAACTGTATAAGAAAGTACACAAACACAAAACAACATCGTTGAAAAAACATATTTAGAGTTAAATGTTTCCTAAATTGATATCGAAAACGAAATGGAAAAGAGAGAACATAAATACAAAATGTCCAAAATGTATATAAAAATGAGAAAAAAAATTCGCAACAAAAAGCATATTTATTTTTATTTGCACAAATAAAAATTTGTACGGAAAACCTAAACAACAACAATAATTTTTCTATCCAAAAAGAATAATTGTATACGTACAAAAGTACATTATGAAAACATCTGACAAAACAAAAATTTAAAATTTTCTGTACCTGTCGTGAGTCTATCTGACAGTGAAAATAAATATTAGTAATTTGTGAATAAGTAAAAAAGAGAGATTCTATTTAGATTTGAGCGCGCAAAATAAGTCAAAAATCAAGGCTTTGGACAACTCTAAATAAAGATAAAAAAGTAAAACACACAGCAGATAATAAAAGGCATCTACTTACTTGATCACGTAATATTTCCCATTCATTATAAGCTCGTTGATAATTTTCAAATTCTTTACACCAATCATTATATTTTTCAATATATTTTTCGGCAGTTATACATGTACAATCGCCTGCGGATAAATATAAAAGGTAATACATTCAAGTATTCAAATCTTACAGTTTAACAACATACGTTTTGATAATGTGGTACTAACGGAACTCGAACCATAACCAAATGAATTAAGTGACTCTAGATGATAAATGATGAGAGAATGATAGCCAACAAAAATTAGACTAGTCCATTACCTCCATCAGTATCTAATGCATATGATACAATTGGTTGATTAAACACAAAACATGTATACTGTCCATTTAAAGATGTATTCATTCCAATTATGATCAAATCTAAACAAAAAACAAAAAGCAAAAAACAATTTTAATATAAATTGGTTACACGAAAAATTATACTCTTTACTTTGTTCTTTTGTTAAAAGATAATTATTATTCATTGATTCTTGAATATTTTGTCCATTCCAACGCCATTCAATATTTGGACGCAAATGTTCATTGACATCACATTGAAGCCAAATAGTTTCACCTACTTTACGTATTAATTGAAATACTTTTGCTAAAAGATAAAAAACAATAAAGTTAAAGACACATTAATTTTAATTGTGTTGTTTTACCTGGTCGTTGAACAGATTTCTTACACCATAATTCAGGTGAATGTCGAGCAGAAGATTTTGGGCTAAATACACGTTAAAAAAAATAGGCATTATCATAATGAAAATCGAGCGTCATGTACACAAATTTTACCCATCATCTGATTCAACACAACGATTATGCTGTACATCATAACGACACAATGGATCACGTTCACATTCCATACATATGGTATAACGATTACATTGGCCAACAGATAATTGATAAACACCAGCATCTGTTGACACATACAATTGCTTCGTATCCTAATAGAATAAAAATTGGAAATAGATTGAAAAAATGAATTCTTTATAGTTACATACTTCGGCTATAATCATATCTCTAATTGGAGTTTTTTTATCATCAATTAACCATGTTGAAAGCCATCGATATTTTTCGGTTTTCTTCTTCTGTAACAGTTTTAGTATTTTTCCATCTGATGTACCAACATATAACAAAGTTAATTGTTCTCCAGCATCATTCCCTGTCGTTATACTGATATAATCACTAACTAATTTTGTTATATTCATATTAAATGTTTGAAAGACAATTTGAAATGGTGGACGACTATAAATATTACCGTGCATCAAGACATGAGAACGAAGAAAGCTCAAGACGGTATCAGATAAATTTTGATTCGAATCACACTAGAAAACAACAATTAGATTTTAAAGATATGTATTTGTATTGATAAAGTCTATAATAATCCTACATTTTTTGGTACACCTTCGGGCATATGATCTCGCGGTAACTCACGCCAAAAACTGGATGAATCAGCTTCTTTGAATGTTCCTTCCAGAACATGATCAATGTCTTTTAGAGTATATTCGCATAAAACGGATGTTGTTGAATCACCACTAAAATAGAACCAAGCGAATTAAAAAGAGACTCAAAGAATGATAAGATAGTAATAGTACATAGGCATGTAACGGTTATGGTTAATCGTAACCGGCCATAACCGTAACCTTAAATAATCGATCGAACGGTTAACTGTAACCGTAAATAACCGCTTTATTACAACTTAGTGTATATTTGATTTTTAGTTCTTTGATACCGGTTTACAGTAGCAGTAGACAAGGATGGTCTTTGTCCTGACGTTATAGTGCATCTGCTATAGTGACAGTCTACCCTATGTTGCACGAAAACGGCTGTTAAGTGGCGGTATCGGGGAATATCTCATCAACCACTGTTTGTCAGAGCAATTTGGCTGTTTTAAACAAAATCTTGCTCCATTTCATCATGAATCTCAGCATTTCATCTAATGAATTTGAGTACCACACAGGTTTGAAGTGCATCCATGTCACTATAGCAGAAGCACTAAAGCGTCAGGACAAAGACCATCCTTGTCTACTTCTACTGTAAACCGATATCAAAGAACTAAAACCAAACATACACTAACGACGGAACCTCCTGAGATTTGAATGAGACTATTTTGAAAATGTAGGTCACCATGGGCTGTGAAGAATTCCAACTTG